CGTGCTTGCCCTTCTCCGGTTCGTCCGTTGCCTGCGCTCCGAGGGCCCTTATGCCAAGGGGACTCGCTCCACCGAGAGGGCCGGTGGGACAGCTTGCCAAGTACCCCCCCCCCTCCTTTCTGCACACGGGAGCCCGGTCATGTGGGAGTGTGGGGAGCGCAGGGGCGGAGGGAGGGGCTGGGGAAGCAGTGAGGAGCACAGCACAGCCCCTTCCCCCAGCCATTCATCCTCCCCCCTCCTACCTCCTCCCTCCCCTCCCTCCCCCTCCCTCCCCCCCACCTCCTCCCTCCCTCCTCCCTCCCCTCTCCCGCCTCCTCCCTCCCGCCCTCCCCCCTCCCTCCTCCCTCCCTCCCGCGGCTGGACAGAGCCAGGGCGCTGACCGCTGGCTCCTCAGTGTCTGTCGCTCATCGGCACATCCTGCCCCAGGCCCATCCCCATCGGCCCTGACAGGCCCAAGGCCGCAGCCTGCGAACAGCAGGACAGGGAGCCCGGCCCCGGCTCCGCCCGGCCCCACCAGCGGAGGCGGAGGGCAGGGCGGGGCCGGCTCCGGGAGAGGCTGTCCTGTCCGGGTCCCACTCCTTTGGGGACGGGATGAAAGCAAGGAATCTGTCCCCAGAGATTACAGGAGCCACGGGCTCACTCCCAGGCCGACACACACACACACACCACACACCACACACCACACACACCCACACACACACACACACCACACACACCACACACACAGGCACACACACCACACACCACACACACACACCACACACCACACACACACACACCACACACCACACACACACACACACCACACACCACACACACACACACCACACACACACACCACACACACCACACACACACACACCACACACCACACACACCACACACACACACCACACACCACACACCACACACCACACACCACACACCACACACCACACACACACACACACACCACACACCACACACCACACACACCACACACACACACCACACACACACACCACACACACACACCACACACACACACCACACACACACACCACACACCACACACCACACACACCACACACCACACACACCACACACACACACACACACACACACACACAGGCACACACACAGGCACGCACACACACACACACACACACACACAGGCACACACACAGGCACGCACGCTCACGCGTGCAGACCCAGCACCCCCCTGTGCCGGAGGCCGGGAGAGCGGGGCGCGGCGGCCTGGCCTGGGGGTGTGGACGCTGAGCCCGGCCCGGAGGCTCCGTCCCGCTGAGCCCGGCCCGGAGGCTCCGTCCCGCTGAGCCCGGCCCCGGAGGCTCCGTCCCGCTGAGCCCGGCCCGGAGGCTCCGTCCCGCTGAGCCCGGCCCGGAGGCTCCGTCCCGCTGAGCCGGCCCGGAGGCTCCGTCCCGCTGAGCCGGGCCCGGAGGCTCCGTCCCGCTGAGCCCGGCCCCGGAGGCTCCGTCCCGCTGAGCCCGGCCCCGGAGGCTCCGTCCCGCTGAGCCCGGCCCCGGCCCCGGAGGCTCCGTCCCGCTGAGCCGGGCCCCGGAGGCTCCGTCCCGCTGAGCCCGGCCCGGAGGCTCCGTCCCGCTGAGCCCGGCCCCGGAGGCTCCGTCCCGCTGAGCCGGCCCCGGAGGCTCCGTCCCGCTGAGCCGGCCCCGGAGGCTCCGTCCCGCTGAGCCCGGCCCCGGGAGCCTCACCTCGGACCAGGATGAAGGTGCCCGGGCCCCGCACGCTGCCGTGCGGCCAGCGGACGGAGCAGTAGTAGGTGCCGGTGGCCAGCGCGCTGGGCAGCCGGGGGGTGACCAGGCACTCCGTGGTGTGGGTCTGGTTCTCCTGGCCGGCGCTGGGCTGGCAGCCGGTCGGCTCCTCGGCGCTCTCCTGGCCCTGGCGGTTCACATAGAAGGAGCTGACGGTGAAGGTTCTGAACGCTGGGGTGTACGGGTAGGTGATTCTGCAGCTGAAGGACACGGCCTGGTTGGCCAGAGAGGCCAGAACCGGGGGGCCAGGGCGCGCCACCGACTGCCCTCCTGCAGAGGAAGGAAAGGAGACGCTGGCTCTCTGCCCCCGCGCCCCCGCCCTGGGCCAGGGCCTCGCCACGGCCCCGCCCCCGCGCCCAGGCGGCGTGCACGAGCGGCCTTCTCCGGAGAAGAGGGGTCCGATGTCAGGGAGGCCAAGCTGCTAGCTCCCCCCGCCACCGCATTTTAAAATATGTTTCTATTGATTCCAGAGAGGACGGGAGGAGAGAGAAATAGAAACATCAATGATGAGAACAAACCACCTATTGGCTGCCTCCGGCACGCCTCACGCTAAGGGCCGAGCCTGCAGCCCAGGCCTGACTGGGAACCGAACCAGGACCTCCTGGTTCCCAGTCCACGCTCAAGCCCCGAGCCCCGCCGCCCCGCCAGCTGCTTTCAATCTCTCAGAGGCGGTGGCCACAGGGGCGGGCGGGCGGGCGGGGGGGCAGGGGGAGCCCGTGACTAACCGCGCGCACGGCCTGAGCAGAACCAGCACAGCAGCGAGGAGGAAGGAAGCAGGAAAGAGAGGGAAGAGACCCTTCTGGGCGGAGAGCACGCCTCCCGGGGCCAGCAGAGGGCGGCAGGTGTGCCCAGCTCTGCCCATCGGAGGAGGTGGGAGACAGTCCCAGCTCGGAGAAGGGTTCGCCAGGATTTTAGGGGCCACAGCCAGCAGCACCGCCCGCCGGGAGCGGCCTTCCCACAACACAGGCATCCACACGGCGCTCAGTGAGGGCCACAAGGCAGCTTTGTGGGAGCTGCCTCCTCCCCACCCACCCCATTAGCGGCCCCAGGAAAGCAGTTTGAGAGCCCCGAAGCCGCAGCCTGCCTGCCGGGCCTCCGCCTCCTGCAGGCTCCTGAGATGCCGGGCAGCGGGCAGCGGGCAGCGGGCAGTGGGCAGTGGGCAGCGGGCAGAGGGCAGCGGGCAGCGGGCAGAGGGCAGCGGGCAGCGGGCAGCGTGCAGCGGGCAGAGGGCAGAGGGCAGCGGGCAGAGGGCAGCGGGAAGAGGGCATCAGGCAGCGGGCAGAGGGCAGCGGGCAGCGGGCAGAGGGCAGCGGGCAGCGGGCAGTGGGCAGCGGGCAGCGGGCAGCGGGCAGCGGGCAGCGGGCAGCGGGCAGAGGGCAGCGGGCAGTGGGCAGCGGGCAGCGGGCAGAGGGCAGCGGGCAGAGGGCAGCGGGCAGCGGGCAGCGGGCAGCGGGCAGAGGGCAGCGGGCAGAGGGCAGCGGGCAGCGGGCAGAGGGCAGAGGGCAGAGGGCAGCGGGCAGCGGGCAGAGGGCAGCGGGCAGCGGGCAGAGGGCAGAGGGCAGAGGGCAGCGGGCAGCGGGCAGCGGGCAGAGGGCAGAGGGCAGCGGGCAGAGGGCAGAGGGCAGCGGGCAGCGGGCAGAGGGCAGAGGGCAGCGGGCAGAGGGCAGCGGGCAGCGGGCAGTGGGCAGGCGGGCAGAGTAAGGGGACGTGGGCAGCGGGCGCGGGCGGGGCATCGGGCAGAGGGCAGAGGGGCCAGAGGGCAGCGGGCAGAGGGGCAGAGGGCAGCGGGCGAGGGCAGCGGGCCAGCTGGGCAGTGGGCCATCGGGCAGGGCAGCGGGCAGCGGGGCAGTGGGCAGCGGGCAGAGGGCAGGGGCCAGGAGGCGCAGAGGGCAGCGGGCAGAGGGCAGCAGAGTGCAAGCGGGGCAGAGGGCAGCGGGGCAGCGGGCAGGGGCCGGGGCAGAGGCAGCGGGGGTGCAGTGGGCAGCGGGCAGCGGGCAGCAGGGCAGCGGTGCGGCAGAGGCAGCGGGGCAGGGGAGAGGGGCAGAGGGCAGAGGGCAGACAGAGGCAGCGGGGGCAGGCGGGCAGAGGGCAGCGGGCAGAGGGCAGCGGGGGGCAGAGGGCAGAGGGCAGAGGCAGAGGGAGGAGGGCAGCGGGGCAGAGCGAGGCCGGGGCCAGCGGGCAGCGGGCAGCGGGCAGAGGGCAGCGGGCAGAGGGCAGCGGGCAGCGGGCAGCGGGCAGCAGGCAGCGGCTGCGCTGGGCCAGGGCACACCTCCCACCCAGACCCGCTGCACTAGCCGCTCGGCTCAGCACACCCCGTCCCCCCAGCACCTTCCCTCTCGGCCGCCAAACAGCAGACAGTTCTAAATTGAGGTCGGCAGCGAGCAGCCAAGAACACGCCGGCCAGGTTGTTAATCGGGAGAAGATCATGCGCCTGAGACGCGCACAGGAAGCGGCGAGATTTATTCCGTTGGGAAGGCCGGCGTGGGCTCCTGCTGGAGTGGGGCTGGCCCCGGGCCAGCTGCTTTCTGCCCAGACTCTCCGCTCAGCCCCAGCAGGTCCCGGGGGCGGGCCCCTGGAGGAGGGGGCACAGGGACAGGCCTGCCTCACACCCTTCAGTCCCTCCAGCTCCGGCCACGCTGATACTCTGAGAGACAGCCCTCCCCAAAGTCACTGGCAGCTCCAGGGAACCGACTGGCAGGTCTGGGTGTCACCGTGGGTCGGCTTTGTCGCCGTCATTCACAGGACGATGCTCACGTGTGGGGAACCCCGCCCCGCTCCGGCCGCGGAGACCGCGGGATTGCACAGCGACTGTACCCCTGGCTCTGCTGCAGGGTGGCCCCGTCGTAGCTGAACTATTACAGTCAAACGAGGAGCATTGGCCAAGGCTGGGGTTTGTGTGAGACGGGCAGGGGCAGGGGCAGGGGCAGGGGCAGGGGCAAAGGCTGGGCCCCCAGGTGGGCCGTGAAGGACAAGAGGCGAGAGGGTGAGATGAATATCACTCACCCCCTCCAGCAGGCCTCTCCTCCCCGCCTCAGTCTGGGACATCCACCTGCTCCCCTACCAGTTCCTACTCAGTCCCTGGGGGGTGGGGGTGGAATCCCCGCTGCTTTCACCGCATCCTCCCATTTGGTCCTCGCATGGCCCCACAAGGCGCCGGCGCAGACCGGCTTGTGTTTCCGAGGCGGGGGTGGGGGGCGAGGCGGTTAGAACTGGACCCGGACCGTGGGGAGGTGGCCACACGGGGCTGCTCGGAGGCTGGCAGCCTCCCGGCTCCTGCCGCTCCTGTGTCCGGGAGGCACCATGTGACGCTGTCCTGTCTTTCCCGCAGGAAGACATCTCCGTTGTCTGACAGAGCTCCCCTCAGGCAGGTCCCCCCAGAGATGGGGGTCTGCCGCTGCAATCACGCCCTCGGGGGCGGGGGCGGGGGTTCGTTACTTTAAGGTCAGAGGGCCAGGGTCGTGAAAATGCAGAGAGAGGAGAACTCAGATCCCATGAAACCGCTGCCTCCACACGTGATGGGGGAGGCGGCCTCCGTGGACTGGGTCCCAGCCAAGCTGGCACTGCGATCAGGCATCGATCAGCTGCCTCCCGCACACCCCCCACTGGGGATGTGCCCGCAACCAAGGTCCATGCCCTTGACCGAAATGGAACCTGGGACCCTTCAGTCCGCAGGCCAAAGCTCTATCCACTGAGCCACACCAGCTAGGCTGCAGGCCACCGTTTAAAGCACATGTGTCAAACACAAGGCCCGCGGGCCAAATCCGTCCCGCCAGGCCTTGCAATGTGGCCCGCACCGCGCTGTCATCACTGCACTCCGCTGCGTTTCCATCACAATGACAGTTTATGACTGTTCAGTAAACCATTCGGCCCGCGATTTAGGCTGGATTTTAGATTTTGGCCCCTTCTCTGATTGAGTTCGACACCCCTAGTTTAAAGAAACATTGCAGTGCTGGCGTGGAGGGTCCAGCCATGTCTGCAGGCCCCAGCCCTCAGATCATTGCCCGCAGACGCCGGGCTGCCAGGCTCCGGAGGCTGTGCCATGCTGGCCCCACACTCGGAGTGTCCTCCCGCTCCCTGCCGGCCCTGAGCGTCTGCAGGACTCGCACCCGTCCCCCGGAGCACTCCTGGGGCACAGCCCGCTCTGCACAGCACTCAGGCACCCCGTTCGGCCAGGGGCCGGTGGGACCTCCCCTTTTGCAGATGGGGAAACTGAGGCTCGGAGGAGGAAAAAGCTTTGCTCAAGCCGGACGGGGTAGTGATGGGCTGTTACGCTGGGTCCCTTTGGGTCCTGGACCCACACGCTGCCCACGCCTCCACGCCGCCACTGTGACGTCTCAAAGCGAGCCGAGGAAAAGACTCCAACGACAGCACCGGCCGTTCAAGGGGAGCAGAACCGAGGCCATTTTTCTGGACTTGGGCCATCGAACCGGCAGACACCGCGGCTCCCAGGAGTCCGGGACAATGAGAGCAAACCGGCAGCGTGAGGGGTGCCTGCTGCGCCCTCCGCGGAACCTGCGGCCCCAGAGCCGACGCCGGTGGCCTGGGAGCCTCTACACACCGGTCCCGAGGGGGCCCGAGGGGGCCCGGGGGGGCGCCAGCACCTCCCTCACCACCGAGAGGACACGCCTCACCCCAGAACCTGGCCCCGTCCCGTCTCTCCCCTCCCTCCCCACTCCCTGCCGTCCTGGCCTCCTGGCTGCTCCCACCCCCACTCCTGGGCCCGGCCTTGGCCCCAGCCCCTCTGCCTGGGCCTCAGACCCCGCTGTGCGCTGAGCGCCAGCCTGGTCAGCCGAGGTGAGGTAAAGGGAGCACTTGGCTTCCCCAGCCCCGGAGGAGGGCGGTCCCACGGCCTGTGTCTCGGGCACCGAGTTCTGCCCCCGGTTCAGTGCTGGCACCTTCGGAGCCGCCTCTTTCCAGAGGCCCCGCAGGGCTGCTGGGAGGCGCAGACGGGCTGCGGGCGGGTGTGTTTCAGCGCTGCCGTCTGCCTGAGCGCGGACGCCAGGACACCGCGGGCCACGGCCGGTCCCCGGACACGCATCACACAGGACGGCGCGTGGCCGAGTGCGGATGCAGGAGGCACAGGACCACGGCCGGCCCTCCCGGACACGCATCACACAGGCCAGGCGCTGACGCAGGAGCCTGTGCACAGAGCACGCGGATGGCGAGCGGTGAGCCCGGAGCCCACGGAACCTGCCATCTGCCCGCTGCCACCTCTCCCGCCGCCTCCGCCTTCGGGGGTGCACGGAGGGGGCCGGCCGGGCCTCCCCGTG